GACCTAGGTAAAAAGATATGGGCATTTCCCAAAATCTCTCTCTCCTTTTTAATCTCTTAACAATCTGTGTCTTGTATTTTTTTCTAATTAGAAATAGGCAGGTTTGCATAGTCAGTCTGTAATTTTGAAGCTGTAGTCTGATTAGAAGGCCAGTTAATACTCAGTCTTCAATAGCGAAAATAAATTATTGAGCCATTGCTGGTGGTTTTGGGTTTTGTTATTTTTTTCCCTTTAAGGGAATAAAAGCCATCGTATTTCCTTCAACAGAAGGTGAAACAAAACCATCACAGGAAGCAGATGCTGAAAACAGCAGCATAATGAAGGCTCAAGCAGGACAGACAAAAGCTTTAGGGTTTTATTCCTCCTGCTGCTTACCAGCTGTTTTACACAACAGAAAAACAGAGTTTTTGTTGTGCTGTGGGAGGCATCCCCCAGCCTCAGCTTCCTGGGCTGCTCCCTTTACTTTTTCCTGTGCAGAAAAAATCTCAATCACCACAGAATGCAGTAAATTATGTTGGGTACAAGTTACACCAGCTCCTTGGCCACTCCTAGGAAATGTTCTGATGTCTTCTGAAGCCATTGGAGGTGGTTGATTAAGATGGAACTCAGTTCTATAGTGTAGTTTTCTGAGAAAGGATTGGGCAATTACAAAATAAGTGTGCAAAGATACTCCCCCCTTTAAGTTTTTGTTGTGTTTTACCTTTTTCTTAGATTCCTCAAGGATTACTGTGAAAAGGGATCCTTCTCTGACTTAGACCTCATTGATAATTTGGGACCATCCATGCTGCTTAGTGACCGTCTGACATTTCTTGGTGAGAATTGCCTGGTTTTCCTTGCTGACTTTTAGAGCATTGCTGACTATAACCAATTATTTGAACTTGCCTCTTCTTCCATCTGGCTACAGATGACGAGGGGAAGGCAAATGGCTGGAAGTGACTGGGATGCAGCTTGCTGTCCAGCCTGCATTTCCAGTTGTGCTCACAGAAGGCCTCTGCCTGTGCTGCTCTGAGCAGGACAGGGCTGAATTCATTCACGTGCTTCCCTCAGTCTCTATCACTGCCTACAACACGTCCTTTGAACCATTAGTGAGCAAATCTGGAAGACGTGGGGTGGTTGTCCCTGGGTAGACTACTAGTTTATGTAATTTTGATAATTAGGTAATTTTGGGGAGCCTGAGGGAGCCGGTGCGTCTGCACCGTTGCTGTTGGTTCCGCACGCCCGTTTCAAGCTCCCTCGAACACAACGTCCCTCCTCCTCCTCTCTCGCTCCAGCCCTTGCCCTGTGTAGCAGGGAAGGTTCCGTCGCGTTCCCTTTCCGCACCACAGCTTCCTTCTCCTGGCTGGCCCGAGCGCAGGCGGGGGTAACCTGCCCATCTGTCTGCAACTGCTCGTAGCCTGTGATGATGAATGGATCGAGGCAGGAAGCAGCGGTGAAGTGCTCCTTGCCCTGGAGCCATGGCACGTAGCAAGCCCAAATACTTGGCCCAAAATCTAATGACAGTATAAAATAACTGTTGGCAATTGGGATGAAGGTAATCCCAAAGTCTGATATGTTCCCTTTTGGTCCAGGCTTACAGAACTAGAACTCCTATTTCCTTCAGTTAAAACTATCCAAATTAAATCTAGAATAACTGTAGCTTTTGGAATTTGATATTCCCTCTAACACAGTATGTGCAGTGGCACCCAGTAACTCTTGCATGAGCCCCACAGAGTTAGTTTAATTGTGATTATGATTATTTCAAAGTGACCTCCCTTCTTGCTTGTTAGAGTAATTCCTGGAAGGCTCGCTTTTAATTTGGAGGTTTTAGAAACATGAGGTAATGCTTTTGCTAGACATCTTGCAGATGTCTCTGTCTTGAGCTCAGGCATTAATCAGAGAGGAATCTGAATACGAATCTTTACTTCCAGCTATTTTGACAGTTCAGTGGATATAAACAAAACCACAGACCAAAAAACAAACCACTTTCATCCTCAGCCAGTTCTCACATAGTGGATATTGATCTTAGTGATTCATAGCAAAAGCAGTATTTTCTGTGTCAACAACGATCTCAGTTTCCATATAAACACTCAGGATGACTACGAAGCCTGAAGTATCACGAAGAACATTCATTCCCCGCTCCTCTCCCTGTTTTTTGGGAACACCAGCAGTCTCTCTAAGCCACTCATGCAGGGGGTCACCCTGGAGACCCTCAGCACACACAGACACTCGCAGTTCGCTGGCAGGCTGCTTCAAGCAGGAAAGCTTACTGGGACCAGGAGCAGCCCTTCTGCTGCCTTTTTGGCCAGCCTCTCTCCTAACCTTCCTTTAACCCTTCTGATGCACAAGATTCTCAAGAGTGGGAGCCTTCCTACTCACCCAGTCCCATCTGCTTTGAAGGTTCATTTCAATGGAGGGTCATTCTACCAAAGGCTTCATGAGAGCAAACTGGCCTCAGAACATCCTGTAACCCGGGCTCGTGCTGTTGTGACACTAACGTGACTCTAACCCTTCCCCAACACCCTGTGCGCAGGCAAGTACCGAGAATTCCACCGGCTCTACGGCGAGAAGAGGTTCTCTGAAGCTGCCAAGTTGCTTCTGATGTTGATGACTGCCCATATTGCTCCTTGCTCCTTCTGGATGACCCTGCTGACAGATGCTCTTCCCCTGCTGGAGCAGAAAGAGGTGAGCACGCTGCCCAAAAGGGACAAGGATCATCACCACCGTCACCCCTTTCTGCCTGACAAGGTGTCTCCAAGGGGTGACCCCTTCATCCCAAGGGCTTGCACTTCCCAGGGCAGGAGCTCTGTTTCTGAGAGTTCAGTTCTCCAAAAGTCCTGTCAGGGGGAGCACAAAGGACCCATCTACTATGAGATTCCAATTTGAATCCAGGATGGGGTAATCAGCTGTTGATTCAGAGCCCTCTTTTCAGAAAATAGGGGTAGAATACGCGTATGCGTCGTGATTTAAGAGTGCTGCATCCAGTTCCTTCTGTGCTTAGTTTGGAAACTGTTCTGGTGTGCTGCCTTCTGCTAAACTTTTAAGATCCATCAAGAAAATGGCAGTTCAGGAGCTATAACCATAAGACTGGATAAAGCCCAGGGAAACCTGCTCTGACCTCAGAGCTGACCCTGCTCCGCACAGGAGCCTGGACCTCCTTAGGTCCTTTTCAACCTGAATTATCCTAGGATCCTACCATCAGGATGGATCTGTGCCAGCAAATTCTCCTCCTCTCAGGAATCTTCCTATACCATGTGATGTCCTTAAACTCAATGATTTCAGTAAATACTTTTAATTTTCACAGGTCATATTTTCAGCAGAGCAGACTTACGAATTGATGAGATGTCTGGAAGACTTGACAGCAGGGAAGTCAGATAAGCAGAAATTCCAGGTACTACCTCTTTCAAGGGCAACCTGATAGTGACTCAGTGGGGCTCTCTGGGGTCGGGGAAGCAAGCCTGAACTTTCTATTCCTGGGCTGAGGCAGAAAAAGGAGAGCATGAGGCATTGAGGCTATTTTTAAATGAGGAATCAGCAGAAGGTTGTTAAGCACACACAAAAGCAGTGCTGTAGATTGCTTCTGCTTTTCACTCTGCTGTTGCATAGCATTGTACTAGGATGCTTTTCCAGGGAAAATAATTGCATGATTAAATGAGCTCTGGAAAGCTGAGGTGCTGCCACCTAACAGCCCAAGCGATCGAATGTTCCAGGCACAAGCCAGGAGCCATGGGCTACCCATGCAAACTGCTGCAGCTGCAAGAAAGGAGGAGCCTGGTGGATCTTTCTTGGGGTGATTAAAGCACAGGAAACATTTTACCCTCATCAGGACGTCCCAGGGAGTAACAGAACTTATCAGGCTGTTACTGGTGTAATAATCTACCTCACGCTCTGCTTATCTTTAGGATGATGATGTTGAGACTATGAAAGTGGAAATGCTGAGACTTGCTCTGGCACGGAATCTTGCACGAGTCATCGTCAAGGAAGGCACATTGGAAGGATCTTGAAGAGACCAAGATGCTATTTTACTCTTCCTCGGCGGTTCACTGTACATAAACCTGACTGCTTTTCTAAGAATAAATATCTTGTTTTGCATATTGCTTGGTGATTTGTTCTTGTCTTCTGTAAATATAATTAGCATAACTTTTAAATACTAACTTGCATAAACATAACTTTTAAAAACCATCCATGAAGGTTGCTGCTTTGAAGTTGGACAGCCAACCTTCCCCCGTAAAAGCAAGTCTCCTTAGCAATGGCCCCATAACCCTTCCTCTCTCAGTTACATTGCCTCTAATGTCTGGAGCTGAATTTGTACCTACCTTTTAAATCACTGGGGTTTTAGAAAAAAGCAGCTTCTGCCCCGTTGGTTAGTCTGGATGGTCTTGAGATGATGGGTTGAGTTTTAGATTTCCTGGAACCGCCCTGTTCTCCACCAGCAGTCGTGACCAAGGCCAGCCACAGAGCAAGGTAGGGAAAACAGTTTATTGACCATGCAGCAGAACAAATGCATTTGAGACACATTTACAGTACGGCTGTTCGGTATGAAGCTGGAACCTCAACCTACCACCAAGTAACATTCAGGGTTTAATGTCCAAAGCCGGTAGCAATGCGTTTCCACACGGCAGAACACTGGGATGGCTCCGTGTTGGAGCAGGCAACGCGCTGCCGTTAACACTGAGAGCGGAGCCGTCCTTCACAAAGTGCTCGAGCTCCTCTGACTCCCTCCAAGTCACAGTGAGATTCACGTGTAGGCATCTAAAGCAGTGAAACCTGCTTCCTAAGGACACACTACAGCACCTGGGCAGAGTTAAATGATTTAGGCAATACCCCTATGCACCTGGGCAGATTGAAATGATTTAGGCAATACCCCTGTGCCTGCTGTGTCTAAAGTGCTGGCAAGAACATGTCTGAGGCAGAAACAATTCTCTCCTTGTCCCACACCCTATTTCGTAACTTTAAAACTGCTGCTGCTTCCTTTGAGGATCCAAAGGACTTAACTTGCCCTTCTGCTGCAGGGAGCTATGAGGCTCTGCTCCTTAGGAGGCTCAGCCCAAGAGTTTATAGCAGGTTCTTTGGCCAAGCTTGGATTTCATCTTCAGGGCTTCTACAGCTGAATCGAGCCCCTGATTAGGGCCTTGGGCTTTTCAATGCACTGAGTTTTTGACTTCCAGTGTCTTTTTACTTGTCATCAGCAAAGAAAATTCAGCAGCTGTAATGATCTGCCTATGACAGCTAGAATATTCAAAGCTGTATTTGCCCTAATGGGTTTTATAGCCTTCCTTAATTCCAGCAGCACTTTCTCCTCTGGAGCTTTCTTCCTGCAATAGGCAGGGGGCCTCCTCCTGCACGTTGATTTTCTCAGCACTTTGACTCCTCCTGTTCCTGGGTGTAAGAGCTGCTGCTTGACAGCACTGCTAGAAGCGCTGAGCGTAGCCCAAGGCCCCAGTCCTTCTGTGCTTTTGTCAAAGAGCGATAAAAAACCAAACCAAAACATTGATTCAAAACAGTCTGTCTCGAAGCTAGTTGAGGCGTTGCTTGAGACTGGAAATAAAAAGGGGGAAGGAAGGGACTGCTGGAATGAAGTTTCAGTGATTTAAACCGAGTTTCTGGGTGATGGTTAGCTCGAGGGGGTCAGGCCGCCTGCCCCCTTCTAGCACAGAATACCCATATCCAGCAAGCCAGCTTTCCCCCTGTGGACACAATTGCACTTAGCCACTTAATACAGGGAACAAATAAAAGCAAGTATTAGACCCAGCACATGCACCAGCACAGCCCACGGAGCGGCTTCCCTTTCCCTGTCCGCTTGTTTCCATTTAGACATTCTAGAGCTCCAGTATTTACATCCTGTATTTCATTGCACTCATCTCAGTGGAACACAGTTGAGCTACAGTAACAACGACCCTGCCTGCGCGAGGGGACGCGAGAGGCCTCCCGTCCATCCCTGCATTCGGTCGCTGCACCTGATTAGTGGTTGCAAAGACTCTTCTGCCCTCCAGGCGCTGTCCTCCACCAATAGCGACTGCTGCTTTCCTGCCCCGTCGGGTTTACCTCCTTCACCCCGGGGTTCCTCCTTTATCCACGCCAGGGAATGCAACAAAGGCAGAAAAATAACTAGTGTAGCCACCTGCATAAAACTCGGCACCACCTGCCCCAAATGGCTACAACAGAGAGGCAGCTAGCAGTATAAAATAAATATATCAACTAAATATACAGCAGTGTCACAACACAGAGCTAGGGGTCAGCTTACATTGGCTGTTGGTAGTGAAATGGAGGAGGGAGAGAAAGGGAGCGAAGTGCCACTTCAGTGTAAAAAATCAGCATTCCCTCACAGAGCCAGCGTTATTGCTCGACATGCTGAACTGGTCCAGTCTGGCACTGAGGAGGTCAAATCCTCGGGGGAGCAAGTGTGAGGGCTCTGTGCTGAGGAAGCTCCTGGTGGCATCGTTACCCCGCCGGCCTCTAGGTAGCTCTGGACAGCAGGACAGGAATAAGCCAAATAAATCCCCTTCCATCGACAGGTCTCCCCTCAGAATACAACAACGTCAAGTTTAATAGAGTAGAAGGTAGAACCAGATTCACCCAGAGGCCGAGATGAAAGTAGCCAGCACTGCCTGTTACTGGTTGCCACTCAGTTCATGCTTGACGTAATGTCCCAGGACCCCTTCAATGTGGGGCACAACATTCCGGACTAAAGCTACAAGCAGAGTGGTCAGGACATGTAAACGAAGCTGAGCATCACCAGTGGGTAGCATGTGTGTCCCTCGCCACGGCACGTTCATCCCGGTCTTGCGGGATCCCTTCCTGGTCCTGTCACGGAGTCTCTGGCAGTGGCCGAGGGTCATAGATGTCCCCATTGCTCTACGGGGGGAAACTGATCCACCTCGCCAAGCTCTGTGCTGGGCTGGTCCCCCAGGGTGAAGGTCAGTCTGTATCTCAGTCTCACCTTCTCCTGCAGAAAAGACAACAAGAGCAACATGAGAAGGGCCTCAGTTGCTCCTAAACGAAGCATTTGGCTCTAAGAGCCCTACAGAGACCACGAGTTCTGCTGAATGCAGCGGAGGGAAAGGGCCAGGGTAAGGCTGTGGAACAGTTCCAGCTGCTTAGCAAACACGAGTTATTTACCTGTTAGCTTTGTAAACCACAAGAGCATTTCTGTTAGAGGAAAACACTGGGACAAAAGCATAAAGGACCTTCAGCAGCAGCTCAGCAGCTTGCCATACATATGTGGTCATCAGCCACAGTGGAACTGCTCTCTAGGAAGCCTGAGGACATGCTTTAATGCTGCTGGAATAACTTGTCTTCTTCAAAACCAACCTCCTTATCATGTGGAGGCAGATAAAACACAACAGCTCCTGCTCTGAAAGTTCCCAGTAAACAGTTAAGAGAGGAATTGAACCAGTCCTGCAATGAGGGATCTCCACATGCTTCAGAAAGAGACAGTTTTTCAGACCACCAGACCCATCTGACATTTATCACTTTGAATCTCACAACTTCCAGCCTTAAGGCCCCTTTGTTGTAATTCTCAGATCACAGCATCTAGATTTACTCAATTAAAAACAATAATTACTTCAGCACACAACTTCAAGCTTTATGAAACGGGCTACTTCAGTGAATAATTACAGAAAGATTTCCAAAAGACCCAAGTGCTCCCACAGCATGATCAGCAGCCAGGAAAGGCTTGACCATGTCCTTGTTTCACATGTGACAGGCGCCTCTCAAAACATTTCAAAGAATAAGGGGAAGAACAAGACCTGACATGAATGTTTTGGTTCAGGGCTGGCAGGCTACGGTCTCAATTCAGCACAAGTATTTCTGTAACACCAGCTAATTTAGTGTCAATCCAATTATCACTAAGCAGGGGCATGTCTAGGGCACAAGAGGGCCAAGACAAATTCCTGACTGAACTTTGACTCCTTGAACTTCATTTCCCTTTAAATTGGAGCCTCATATAGGCTGCTGCCTGCTTCCTGGAGCTTTTCCTCATTGCTTTCCTTGCTGAAAAGGCCTGTTGGGGAACCTGCTATCCCTCTAGCCCTGAAATGAAAACACCAATAAATCCCACTTTGTGACAGGGCCCCTCTCACCTTTGCAGGATTTGCCAGAAGCATGACTTGGGTGATGGCAGCAGGCGGCTGGATGGGGTTAAATGGAGACAGCTCTGTGCCAGAGGGTGGCTGTAACTTCACTTTCATGGACTGCAAATGAAAAAGAAAGTGGAACCTCAGGGGACATCTTCTGTCCTGGGGACAATGAAAGCTGCACGCACAGGCTGGGAAGATTAACAGCCCACATCTGAGTTGAAGAGAATTAATTCAAATGGGAGGAATGAGGGAGACAAGAGCCAGCCCCGCACACACAACATGACACAGGGATTGACAAATCAGCCCAGAGTGAAGTGACTGGCCAGGTAAATCCCAGCAGCATCTTCTTGTACGAGAACTCTTGCAGGGGAGGATTTAATGCAGATGCTGCCACAATGATCATAGTCAGGTTTAGGATACTATTCAAAACATGAATCAGACATCCAAGCTTAGCTGGCAGGGGTAGAAGCAGAATGGAATGTATTTTCAGATTTAAGATGTCTTTTAGAAACCAGCTCGCATGGATCTCAAGGATTCTCTCTCCATGTAACAGTCCTGTGCTGAGCAGGATTGATTTTAGATGGCAAGAAAAAAAAAGAGAACATAACTGTAGTTCTTGATTTATCCTATTCAGTGTTTTCTGCCTCCAAGAACCACCTTTGTGTTTTGGAAACGGGCAGAACAGAGGCAACAGAAAGGCAGACCCAGGGAGATGGTTCCATCCGAGTCCCCGTGTTCACCCCGAGGCCCTTTCTGACCGGGCAGATCGAGGCTGCCCTGCGTCCCCTACCTTTGGGACAGCAGCCTGCAGCACAATGTTCCTCACGGGCAGCGGCGCCGTGTTCAGCATGGACACGACGACCACCAGCACGTCCGACCTGCCCGGCGGGCACTCCCTGGCAAAGTGCAGGAGGATGCGGAAGCCGTTCTTGTCGTAGGCCGTCACCGGGAGGGCGCTGCCTGCCGCAGAGCAAGGACACAAAGGCAGGGTTAGGCTGCAGGAGACAGTTTGTAGCTGCGTGAGGCAACCTGACTGCCTGGAACGTTTTATTATACAATCCCTTTCCTCACTTGATCTTTGTCAGGAAGCTTTGCTTAAAAAAATAACATGCAGAGAAAGATGAAAAACCTGACGTACTTACTGGGTTTAATGGATTCCAAGGGAACATGGACGTTGGCCAAAGAAATTTCAGGTGCTTTCAAGGGACTGCCTTGCTGCTGGAGTGATGCTGACTGGAAGAGAGGGCTCCCTGAGCCAGCAGTGCAACTGCTTGGGAAAGGAATTGGAGGGGCTCCTGGGGCAGTAACCGGCAGCCCTGCAGGGGGGATTAACGGGGCAGAGCTGGAAGTGGCTGGCAAAGTAACCCCAGGAAACACTGAGGCTGTAGTCATGCCTTGGGTGGCAGTCCTAGAAGGGAGACAGAAAAAAAACATGGAAAATTGAGCTGAAAGTGAAGCAGGCATCTCAGCATAAACCCTGAAATAAGAGAACAGAACAAAGCAGTGACCTGCAATCAGGCTACAGTCTGGTGACTCAGTATGGCCTCATTGAAAAAGCAGAGCTACGTGGCAAGCTGCGGTGCTGGAGATACAGGCATTGTTCTCCCCAAGTCAAGATGAAAGCAGAACCCACCTTGGCCCAAATCGGCAAGGCTCAGATGAGCAATGGCCTTTCTACCATAGCAGTCTGCTAAGCTCACTTACATGAAGGTTGTTCCTTGCAGGAACAGCCAGCTGCTGTGTCCTACCTAGCAGTGTCTGCCTTTCCCTGCTGGATGTAGGACTCTTGTATTAAGTTTGTATGTTGAGACTCTCAGAGAAGAAACGTCTCAATCACGAATTTCTACCAAACCAGAGTGGTGAATGTATCTGTCTCTGAATAGGATTACTCTGCAGTCGACCTTGCTCCCTAACCACAGAAACAAAAACAAAGCCCAGGACCGTTCGTTACCCTTTGGCTTCTTCAAGGAGCTGTCCCAGTGCATCCATTTTATTGGACATATTGCTTCCCACCGCTGAGCTGAAGTACCCAGGAGCCGCTGGCAGAGTCTGAAGAGGCCCCGCTGGGGTGGCCGATGCAGCAGAGAACACGAATGGGCTTGGGTTTGGTGCAGTGATACCGGGAGCAGGCTGAGAGGCCGTGAAAGCGGAGGGCAGCGTCGCTGCCGGCCCACACGCAGCCTGTGACGTGTGAGGGAGAAGAGGGTTCCCTGCAGGGTTGCAAGCAGCAGGCCCCATCTTCGAACCAAAGAAATCCAGGTCCAGCTGGTCATTCTGCAAAAGAAAGCAAGGGGATGCTCTAAAGCCCCACCAGCCCCACGCAGAGGTGGCTCCGTTACCGAGGCAGAGATTTACCACAAAAACAGGTGGCAAGCATAGTCTGTGGCCTATGTCAGGACTACACCTGATCTGTAATTTAGGCAAAGGAAGTGCTAACCTCAGCGGAGACAGACTGGAAACTGAGAAAGCCACTCTCAAGGGAGAGAGATCCGCTCTGCTCAGACACAGCTATCCCTGATCTCGGGGCTATGCCTGGCTTCCCCTCAGGGACAGCTGTGCCTCGGCCTGTACGCGTAACCACAGGTTTCTCGGAGGTGATGGTGTGTCCTGAGACCTCCCACGCTGACCATCCCCCCAAAGAAAAATTCCTTCCTTTGTACCTCAAACATGCTCCACTGGTTGTTTTCTGACGGCTCCTTCACTGCTGCGGGGGCTGGATCATTCAGGCCTGAAAGTAAAAATAAGAGTAGGTACCCGAGGGGGAAAATGAGCTAGCTGCAATTCCCTGGCAGTTGTTTCAGTGCCAAACTACTTGATTCAATTCCGCTGGAACCCAGGGACATGATGAAAGTCTGAAACAGAGCGCAAGTCTATGGCAAGACTGGCAGCACTAGGAGCCAACCCTGCTCGTGGTTCTCCTAACCCTTCTTATCTGCAGACCTTCCTTACCTGCAGCTTCCCCTGCTCTGTGGGCTCTGTAAGCAACTCTTCTAACTCTCTTGCTCTTCAGCACAGCTGCTAAGTCACCTGTGAAGCCTGTACCAAGCTGCAGCACGGCTAAGCTGCACGTCCAAGCACCCCCAGAGACCAGACTGTGGTTACATCCAGCTCAATTTATTTGCAGCCTGCTCCAGCAACATCAGTTTTTTAACACTGGCTCAGAGTAGTTTCATAATCAGAGAGATGCAGAGAAGAGTCTAAGAAACCTCCCTGACCTCTCTAGAAATAACAGACCTAAGGATGCAGAATTAGAGGAAGGATATCCCCGTGTTCGTGTTTTGTGAGTGGCACATATCACTGTTGCCAGCTGCTCTTCTGAAACAACAGGTTCCCTCGACCCTCCTCAGCAAGCACTGGACCTGTTACAAAACTGGAGACTTAGACATGCTCCACCAAAACCCAAGGCAGTGTGAGAACAGCTTCCATGGGTTAACTAAACCCGCTGGACGAGCCAAGAGCAGGAGGAACTGCTGTGGGAGAAATGGGAAGTACCTCACACTGTTTAGGCACCCAGCATGCGCAGCCAGCCCTTACGCTCACGCTGGAGGACAGAAGGGGACTTTGTTAGGCAGGGATTGAGCAGCCCTGCTCCGGGCCCCTCCGTTTCGTACCTAAGCACAGAAGCTCCTCATCCAGCAAGGAGAGGGAATTGGCCGCGCTGCTCTGCTGAGCGGGAGCGGCTTCCGCTTGGCTCGAGGAGCTGCCCCGGGAGGGAGGGAACGGCTGCGGCGGCGGCGGCAGGATGGGGATCTCGGCTGCGGGCGCTGGCGCCAGGGCGGCCGGTGGCATC